TCATAGGAATATTCTACTTTTTTTTTTTAATTTTTTTTTCAACGTTTTTTATTTATTTTTGGGACAGAGAGAGACAGAGCATGAACGGGGGAGGGGCAGAGAGAGAGGGAGACACAGAATCGGAAACAGGCTCCAGGCTCCGAGCCATCAGCCCAGAGCCTGACGCGGGGCTCGAACTCACGGACCGCGAGATCGTGACCTGGCTGAAGTCGGACGCTTAACCGACTGCGCCACCCAGGTGCCCCAGGAATATTCTACTTTTGGATGGCAGGGGAAACCTGTATGGCTCACTGGACCATCTATGAGACTGAGCTGCTAAATGTCAATGTCTCCTCCATGTTGGAGGTTATTGACAGTGAGTGCAACGTTGTAACTTACAACGAAAAAATCTGTGTGCGCTTTCATACTTTAATAAAATGTGGAACTCTAAGCATGGTGATATCATTCTTTTTATTATAGTAGCTTAAGCTTAAGGTCATTGAAATCGGAACTCATTGTCACTGATTTGTCATCATGCATACAACCCCCTGAACTGGTATAGTCACTAATATAATTTATTTTCCTATGGTAACTACGGTGTTAGTGAAATACATTAGGATTCTGCAATAAAAGAATAGACTGAATGCTCTGTACTACAGTGCTTGACACAAAAGTAACTTGTATTAAAAGCCTAAGATCAAATGGTTGCAGCCAACTTTTATGGTTTTCCAAGGCCTTTGGAAAGGTTGAGTGTTTGAAGTCTTTGGGCAAAAGCATGGTTATTTCACTTTTTATTATGTCTGAAAGGCTGGCCTCCAGAAAGCACTGCTTTCAGCAGGAACACTAAAGCTTTAGGAAAAATGATGATCATTGGGATGTCAACAATCACACTGCTTGGCTGTACCCACAGATGGGGGATGTAGGTTAGGCTTTCTGCTATGAATAGCAGTCAGCTGGCTCTTTCTTGCTTGCAGAAAATGAGCTTTTGTGAGTGAACAGTAAGAATGCTGGTAAAGCTTTTAAACGTTTTAAATAGATTATAGAGCTGATGAATAGAGAAATTATCAGAGAACTTATTGTAAGTCTAATGTATAGAGAATGCTCTCCTAGATTGGGGAAGGTGAAATACAAAAGACCCAGAAGGCCCAGTGCCCACTTCAAACACAACAATAGCTGAGAACACAATATACTATATTATCATCATAATATGAAACACATCTATGAAAAATGATGTAAAGACCAATTTTACCTTCACTGGGCCTCCAAGGGTCTGTTTCCTCAGCAGGGTGAGCATACATCCAGGTTTGCCCAGAAAAATTCTGATATACAACTGTTGTCCTAGCTTCCTGTTTAGTTTAGCATTTTAACATTCTCAAAAGTGTCCAGGTGTGGGTAGTAAATGATTTTCACAAGTCTTATTTTAATGAATAATCACAAGGAAGGACTGTAACTCCCCGGGTTTAAGGTGGATTTTTTTTTTTCTAATGGGTAAAATCAGATCTCTCAATCTGTAACAACTGTTCCTGCTTTAAAATTATATGATGCTCACATCAAATCTAATTTCTCATCCTATTCCTCCGTCAGTTGTGTCCCAGACACAGCCCTAGAAAACCTGTTTCCTGAATCTGACTCATCACCTCCGTACACTATGTTCTTTCCCTGGAATTTTAATCTCATATCTCTTTTCTCCAATTCAGCTGAAGTTTCACATCATCTATTTTAGGATACTGTCCCCGGCTGAGTCTACACTACAGTATTCTTCATTTTTCTGACTTCTCAAAAGTTTTCTGTCCTCAATACTCCACCTCCTGCTCATCCCAAAACTGAATGCAATCTAGTTATTACTTCCCCACTTTGCTGAAAATACTCTTTCTGAGATTACCAGTAACTTTTCACTGATAACAAATCCACTGGATTCATTTACAGTCCCCATTTCACTGAACTTGTTATATTTATCACTGTGGATTACTATTTGGAAAATGCCCTCTTTGGACCCTTGCATTCTCTAAGGCTAATGACGACTGTTACCTGTTTCCTTCCTAACACATGCCATATCCTGGATTATATGCCTTATATCAGAGGTTCCTTAACTTGTCTGCATTTCAGAATTTACCTGAAGACCTTCAAAAAATTCCAAATTCCAGACCACACCCCAGGCCAATTAAATCACAACCTCTAATGGCAGGAAACCCTCAGTGATTCCAGTATGTAGACCAATTTGGGAACCACTGCCCTATATGTATCATCTAATTCAAAAATCTTGACAAGGTTGTCATGTAGACATTTCTAAGAAACTTTGAAGGTTGAGTAACAAGTCACAGAAAGTACAAGTCACCTGCTCAAGGTCCTACTAGATCCATAGATCTTGGATAATTATAGGAATAACTATAGTCTTTGTTTAACTTGGTCCCTCACCAAATCTTATTTGATGTCATTAATCTCTAACTAAGCTAGATGTCAAAGAGTTATCCTTGTGTGGGCCACTCTTTCTTCCCCAACATCTAACACAGTACTAATTCCTATAAATTCTTATCTCTAATCTAGCCCTGTATCTCTATACAAGGGCTGTGCATTTCTGTCTTGGATAATGGACTTGTCTCCTCACTGGCTTCCTTGCCATAAATCAGGGTCTTTATGTCTGTCTCTCTTTGATTGCTCTACTTCTCTATCACTCACAGTAATGACTGAGCAGTCTTTCTTAGAAACAAATATGATTATTCCTTTCTTCAACAAACTCCATTAGTTCTCTGTATTATTCTCATTAATTAATGAACAAAAGCCTTCAAAATCTGCCCCTAATGTTTTATTTTCCACAGTTTGCTCTCAATATATAGTGATGAAGTGCATCAGAGATGTCAAATATCTTAATTCTTCAAATATGTACTATGAATTATTATACAGATGTAATGCTTTGTTCTCTGGTATGCATAATGATTGGAGGATTAGGTAGTTTTCATAGATACATTTGCTGCAATGTAAATCGTTTTAATTAAACAAATTATTATAGAAGTTTTCAAATACCCCAGGCACCATTCTTTTTTAATATAAATATAACTGAATAACTTAATAAAGTCATAATTTCATAAGTATGTACAAATTAGCATCCATTAACTCATGTTTTCAAGAACTTTCTAATCAATATGATTTTCTGTTTTGTAAAACTGTTTCCTTATTCTTTTTTTTAACTGTAGATACATTCCATCATGTGGTTTGAAATAAAAGACAACAGAGTTCTGGTCCATTTACTTTCATTAATGTTAATACATTAATGATATCAATATTGCACTGAAGTGAGGTTTAAATTCCAACATTAATTTTATCTTTTTTTCCCATAATACATATGTAGTATTAGATTTGTATGATATATATGGGATATTAAAAACCAAAAATGTTCAAGGAAATTTTTCTTCTAACATTTAAAAATCGGGACCACAAAGCACTATTCTTTAATAAATCATTAAAGAGACTAATATGTTAGAATAAAGCTTTACTGAAATTGAAATCTTATAGGGTCCACTCAAATATGCAAATATAATATTACATCAAAGAACTTCAATAAAACAAAATCTAATAATATGAAGATTTTATAATCCTAAAAAGCAGGTTAATGCATTATTTTTAAAAGATGGTCCCAATTTCAAAGAAAAAGAATAGAAAAAAACTTGTCCCCTCTGTAGATTTTCTAAATATTTATTAGTTTACATCATGTAAAACTACAAAATTTGCTATTTTTGGAATCACAAAAGTGACAGCTATGTTATTTAAAGCAGATGATTTAATCAACTTAAGATTACCTGCAATGATGTCATTTCACAACCCATCATGATGAGGTTAGAAATGTACAAGGTTTTATAAATGACTTATTCCATAAAAGTACGTCCACAAAAAAGTATGTCACATTAAATTTTAGCAATGAAAAATGTTCTTTATCAGCATCAGAGAGCTCTTTTTTTCATTTTTAGAGATAAAAATGTAATAATAAGTTCTCACAGATTTTCAGAAGTTTTTCCTTCAGTCAAATGTAAATTTCAGAATTGCCAGAATTTACCTTTAAATAGTTACTGCCTTGATATATTTTTTTTGGAAATGTATCATTTTTAATTTTTTCCCCCGATTCACTGTAAAATGGAGGCATTTATGACTTAAATGTTAAAACAGTGTTTTTTTTGACACTGGTGGTCAACAATAATTAGGACATAATTTACTAAATAAATTGAATCAGCAAAGTATCCTAAAATCTCATAAGATGATTTCTATGCAATGTACGAATTAATATTCTAGACCTATGTCTTTTAGAGATTTGAAGGCCAACTATAATCAGGTAAAGAGAATGAATTACACAGTCTGTGCATGAAGGCTATTAGTATATTTTGCTTTACCTCTTTGCAAACCAATGCTTTCTGTTGAAAGCTTGACTAATTCAGAATCGTACAAAACAAACTCTGATGCAGAAAGATGCCAAATTTTTGGAAAGTGAATATCAAGTAAAATCTTCTCTGTTGACCAAGGACATTGCAAAGTCAAACGTAACTGAATTTTAAATACTCTTACCATCAGCCATATAAGAAGTGTCCTCTGGCTTTCTGGACTGGTGGTATAAGTATTATCTACCTGTCTATCTAAATGTCTGTCTATCTATCATCACCTATGTCTCTACCTATCCAGAAGGACTATCAATTCAAGGGCCACTCAACGCACAGACCAATGTATAGCTTTCTCTTCCTGCAAGGTCATCCTGGTTGAAAAAGACAAAAAATTGTATCATCTGCATGCCCTAATCCTGGAGACAGAACCACAAAGAAGAAAGTCTCAGGTTTGCGCCTCTGATTTTCTTAGGATAGCCGGTTAGAGTTCCACCTGTGAATTCTAGAGTCAGACTGCTTGTGTAACCTCGGGCATATTCTTAACACCTTTCTGTACCTCAATTTCTCATCTGTGAATAATACTTAACCCTGCATGGAAGATTTGATGAGTTAACTTAGGAAAGTTCCTATGTGTCATATAAGCATTCACTGTCCTTGCTTTTGTTGTGGTGGTTGTTGTTGATGATGTTGTTTATTCCTAGCTATGATCATGGCACAGAGCAGATCAGTAAAGGCTTGCCATCCTTGATTACAGTTAATTTATTTCAAGTAAGAGCTAATGTACCTTGAAGGGGTTGTGGGGGCTATTCTGATCCCTCTGCCTCTAATACCTCTGCCACGACCAGAGTCCTCTGAGCCATTTAAGTAAGATAATTCACGTAGCTGTTCCTGACGAATTTCATCATTGTAGTCCTAGGGAAACAAAAACAAAAAACATGACCTGATCAGTTAAAATGGGGCATGGGGATCTTAGACCTGAACAAACACAGTATGAAAGGACATTTTTCATCTATTTTCTGGAGCCTTGTCTATGAAAATCTGAAATGATGTAAAAGTGTGTATACTTTAAATTCCTATTTTTATAGAGAGAAATGGGAAGTTGCTTCTTTTATCAAGGAAATACTCAGCAGGAAATCAGATGAAATGTGCTGGGATATCACTTGATGTGTTAACCAGAAAAGGAAAGACAGCAATATAGAATGAAATCTTGGAATGTACCACAGTTATGATTAACATAAAGATTACTGAAAAACAACTCTACTGGGGTGATATGTGTAAATTGCGAATGACTGCATGACATTCAAATAGCTCCTGGTGCATAAACCAAAAAGGTGCAATCTCAAGGCCCAAGGTAGACACTGTGTTAACATCATAAAGAAGTGCAAATAATATAGCACAGTTTCAGAAAACTGAGAAGCTGTGCAATCCAACAAGCTTGATGGACAATATTTAAAAGTAAGGAATTTTCTACGTGTTCTAGCATTGGGCTGATAGAAAGACAGCCATAGCAAAAGGCAAATTTCACAGTGATAACCAGAGTTGTAGCAAAGTCAAAGGGATTACCTTTATCTTTTGTCAGTGTGGAAATTTATCAGTCATTTCATTGGGACCAAAGAATGGATGTGAGGCACTAAAGATGAATACTCTTTAAAGACAAATATCAGTCTTACCTGTTTCTCCTTTTATTCACACACACACACACACACACCTGCTTGAATAGTACAAAACTGAATAATTGGTTATTTTTACCAAGTGGCTAATCTGATTAAATTCTTTTTCAGCAAACATATGTTTAAGTGAAATCAATCTGCTGAATTTTCTAGTGCTGGAGAGGTGACTAGAAGTGGACACTAGAAATATTTGTGAAGGGCAGGCTGACAGAAATCATGTTGGAAGTCTAGGTGTGGACCCAAAAAACAAGTGTATCGTTTCACCAAATGTTGCCAGTTTACCTCTGCATATATACCTTAACAGTAATATTACATGAAAACTGTGCTACTCACCCACACACCTCTGTTTAGAAAAAGGCAGGGATGCATTCAACCCATAAGGATTTCTAATGTACAACTTTATGTCATGCTCCAAAAACTGCCTTGATTACAAGAAAAGTACTAGTCACTCCAAAGCATAAATTTTCTGGTTTTTAACATGATGCTTTCACATTCATCCTCTTCAGCACCTCATAAGGGGCTGAACACAGCTGGCTGACAGAAGAACTATACAGTAGAAAATTACAGTTTCTAAGAAGTCACATATATTCAATTTATACCTCTTAATTTTCACATTCAAGTAACCACCAAACGGAAGAATATACATGTCCGTTATTTTATTAGGATCAGGGAGTGTGATGAATTGCCACTTCTGAGTGAGCTGACCAGCCATTAAATTCCATAATTAAAATGAAAAATTAATTCCATAATTTTCCCACATAATATTCCTAATTTGCAAGAGAATCTTTTTGTGATTTCTTATCTGAGGAAAACCCATGAATTCTCAGGGTCTTTAAAAATTGTAAAAAGAGAGATCATTGTTGGAAACAATGAAACTTAAAAATTTAGAAGTTTTAGGGGTGCCTGGGTGGCTCAGTCGGTTAAGCGTCCGACTTCGGCTCAGGTCATGATATCACGGTCCGTGAGTTCGAACCCCGCATCGGGCTCTGTGCTGACAGCTCAGAGCCTGGAGCCTTCTTCAGATTCTGTGTCTCCCTCTCTCTCTGACCCTCTCCCGTTCATGCTCTGTCTCTGTCTCGAAAATAAATAAACATTAAAAAAAAATTAAAAACAAATAAAAATTTAGAAATTTTAGATGTATTCAATTTATGTAAAAATTTACTTTTATGCCAGAATCAGAAAATGTAATAATGTGGATGTGGTCTTATTCGTTGTGTAATCTTAAAGAAGAGGAAGATGAGGCTGAGAAGAAAATAGGGAAGAAAGAGGAGGAACTTATTCAGAGAGCAGGAAAGAATAATTCCCAATTTGGTCAGGCCTCCCTGAATGCATACCTTGGATAGGTCGAATCACACTGACTCTGGAATTATCCATGTGATTTGCCTTAGTCAATTGAACAAGAAATGTAACAAAACCAAAGACTTGAAAAGTCCTTCCATACTGGAGCTTGTCCTTTCTTGTCACTGGAGACTTATGCTACCAGGTGAAGAAGCCAGGCTGGCTTCCTGGATAATGAGAGACCATGTGGAGAGAGGCTCCAGTCACCCCTTCCTTCCCACCATCCCATCTGTTATCCCAAACGTAAGAGTGAGGTCATCCTAGGCCATCCAATATGAGTCAAGTTGATGAAGACCATAAAAAAATCACTTACTTACCCCCGGAACTGGTAGAAATAAATAATAAAGTGGTGCTTTAAGCCAGCATTGTGGTCGTTTGTTTTGTGCAAAAGCTAACAAACGGAGAGGGGACTGCTCAGCATGGAACACGAGAGACCAAAGTCAGAGGGGCATACTTCAGCAGTCTTTTCCCTGTCCTGTCCAAAGGAGGGTGCTTAGACCCAGATGTGATCTATATATTACTTGGGGTATGTGTAGCCCTGCTATGGAGGGAAATATAACTAATGTCATACCCTGGTGTCATTAAAGTTTGAATTGTCCACTTAAAACATTTTATTCAGAGTCTATGCTCACCAATCCAACTGCAGATTGGAATTCAGCTCCTAGACAGAAATCTGCTAACATGCAGAGAATCTGTTTATTTTTTAACAAGAATATTTGACACTGCAGGTTAATTCTTAGTGTAAGTAAAACAACTATCATTGATATATAATGATATACAATCAGGTTTTCTATGAGCTTAACTAGATATTCTGTTTTGAGAAATGGATCATCTTCCAGGGTTGTGGTGGTCAAGAGAATACAAACCTCCAACTACAGATGTAATTGACTAAAAATTCCAGTTGCTCTGTTCTGAAACCTATTGTCCCCAGTCCCATGTTCCCCTTGAGTGACTCTTAGTCAATGGCTAAATGTGGTCAGGATGCTAAAATAGGCCCATTCCTGGGAGTCACAAGACCCGTCTTCCTATACCTGAAGGATTCCCTGATAGCCTTGCTGAACTTGTTTTAATCTCATTGCACCAGGGCAGTCGAGGCCCCTCTACCTCTCTTTCCTTTGGGTCAGATATCGTAGTGTGAGGGCTCTCCAGCTTTCTCTGGCTCCCTCCTTATTTTTGTGTTAAAGAGAATTTTCCCTAACAAAATCCTTATGTGTATAATCCCAACTTGGCATCTGCTGCTTGAAGGACACAAACCAACATACACAATGTTAACAAAACCAAGTTGCTAAGATTACAAAACTGAGAGCTTTGGTAAATGCATTAATGTCAATGCTGGTGGAGCCTGTTCTGTTCAACACACCTTATGCTCTGATTAAATTGGAGTGCTTGCCATTCTCTTACTTAAAAATGGTCATATACAGATTAAATGTGAACTGTGAACTGATTATTGATTACCAAAAAGGGTGGTGATTGATATTTTTTAAGAAAATGAATTGTATGTTGCCTAATTTTTTGTAACACTTCACTTAGTGAGACAATATGAAAGAGTCATCAACATATTTTGGGCCGGAGATCAGAACAACTTGGTAGGTGCAGATAAATTGCAGCAACAATGAAAAACTGTGGGTACATGTGTGTGATGGGGTAGCGGAGAAAGAAAATGGGCATCCACGAAAAAATTTAGTAGGAGTCCTCAACTGGGAAGTATATGATATATTTGGGAAAGGCAGGGACAAAAGACATTTAAGGTGCAGAGATGGCTAGAAGTAGAACATTAACAAGATAAAAGAAGGAATGAGGAAAAAAGTGTAGAGGTGGAGAATTTATATTTGGTCTTAATCAGCTTAAATTTAAAATGCCAAAGTGACAGTAAGGGTTATCTTAGAAATTCAGATCTGAGTAGGGAGAGTAAATATGAGAGTCATCTACACATATTTATGATAATAGAAGCACAAAGATTGTATAAGAGATTAGTAAAAGAATGTAGTGATTAGAATTTTCTAATCTACTTTTAATGCAAATTTGTATCCTTGAAGATGTCACTTATTAACTGCAGTGTTTGGATCATTAAATGTTAAATGACCAGGCCTTTTAATAAACTCAGGTTTGTCTAATTAGACAACCAAAATATACACACTTCTGTATTTATGGTAATGAAGCATCTACATGTTTCAAATAAATATGGAAAAGAACTTTTTAAATGTCTGCATGTAGGAATAGTTGATACTAATAACTTCCTAGACTGAATATATTCTGTGTATTGTTTTATAACATAAATATAATTTTCTAAACCCTAAAATCTGTAATTTTATATTATAGTGCTTACTTCCAGTCTTCATTAAGCACAAACCTATTTTTGAATTAATCTTTCATAACTAGAACCTGAGTCTACCTGAAGCTAGTATATCCAGCTGGACATTTAACTGTGGTATGAGTTGCTGATACTTTAGTTATATAAGATCTTAATGACACGAGTAAACAAAACCTTCCAAGTTTACCTTGTAAATGTTATCTTATCAAATATACATCACTACCTAGTTCACCTGGTGTTATTGAGTTCTAAGGTGCTGGGGTCATGAAATATTCATACATACGAATGTGTGGTTGTAGTTTTATGGCATTTACAATTTTTATGCCCAATATGCTAACAACATATTCATTGAGATGTAAAAATATAAGTTTATAAATAGTAATTATGAAAACTTTCAATTTATGATATTATTTCATTTATTACTATATTAAGAGATCTTTGAGAGATAAAGACATAAATATAGAAAAATAATTACCTAAGCATGTGATAAAGTTCATAAAGGACAAAGAAAGGTACAATTATGACAATTCAGGATGAACAAAAGTGGAAAAATTAATTTCCAGTCACTTAAAATAAATCAATAATAACATAGA